CCGCCAGAGCCCTGGCCACCCTCATGGCTTTGGCTGCCACATAAACGAAGTGGGTTTTAAAATCCCACTTTGCGTCCACCTGGAGGCCTAAGTATTTCATGACCGGTTGGGAGGCCACCCGGGCGTTCTCAACCGGTACCACTACCGGTCTGTTTCCCCGCCCCGGTGCGCGGAAGACAACGATCTCAGTCTTAGCGGGTGCTAAGCTGAGGCCCAGCGCCAGTTGGCGTTGTTCCACCGCGGCGAGCGCCACGGTGACGCGCCGTAGCACCTCCCGCTCGTTGCGCCCGCCGGCCAACACCAAGGTGTCGTCCACGTAGCACACCAACGAGCACCCCGGCGGGAGGAGGATGCGGAGGACCGCATCGTAACCCACGTTCCAGAGTAAAGGCCCCAGGACAGAGCCCTGCGGAACCCCATATGTTACCCTGTGAGACCTTGTCACCAGAGCCAAAAGTCCAGCAGGATGCCCGGGCGGTGGTGAGCACGGAAGGATTTTCAAGATCACTCAAGGAGGTGTTCTTGAAAGCACAGAGGGACCACGAACAAAAAGAGCTCCGAAAGGAAGCCATGCGTTGGTCGGAACTGGTCCTGGACGAGATCTTGGACGGAATTAAGTAGACAGTGGACTCCTGAAAAGGAAAAAGACAATGATTAGGTTTAAGCAAAGTTTTTGTAATTTTAACAATAGTTTTAATACGCGTTAACCTAAAGAGTTAGCGAGTGATTTTTAGTTATACTTACCTGCAAGAAAGCAGCCAAAGTGTAGGACACTAGTCGTAGCGTGGTAACGCTAGTTTTGTTTTTGTTTACACGTGTTAGCAAACAGTAAAGAACAACTCCTCTAGAGTGGGAGGTATTGTTTAGCGTGTGTTAGTAGTTTAAGGGGTTAAGTACGCAACAAAAAATACCCTAGCTAAGAGAAAGGGGTTGCGTTGGCGGTTAGGAGCTAGAAGTTAGGCTCAGATCTTATTTAGCTACTTAAGGTTTTTTAGTTTGTTTTTCGTTTTCGTAAGGCACCGTGGAGGACGCTAGTTTTGTTTTTGAGGTTTAAGTTTGCTTTTTAAGTTTAAGGCCTGAAAGTGCAAAGAAAAGGCTGTGGTAGTAAAGTAAGCGTCGGTGCGGGTTCAGCGTTAGTGTAAGACACACAGAGGCGACTTAAGAAATAAAGTTGGAGATTAAGGTCGGAAAGTAAGTCGGTAACAATCCGGAGGGTGTAACGAAGCCCACTAGCGTAAGTAAAGTTGTTATTTAAGGTTATTGTGGTTTTTCAAAAAAGTTATGATTAAGAAAAAATTTTGGTATTCAGGCAAGCGGGGAGTTGAGTGGAAATGGCCCATAGCAAAATTTTCCCTTAATCGTCAGTTTCAGGTAATTTGTTAGTTTAGTAAATAAAATAACCGGATTGTTGTTGTTTGAGTTGTAAGAGTTACGGTAATGTAAAAATAATTCCTTAACTCGCGCCTGTGTAAAAGTTCCCGTGTTTAGGAACTTTGTAGTTTGAACGGGGTGGTACTCTATTGACCACAGTACGATTCGACACCGCTCGATTCGACACAGATTTATTCGACACCAAATTATTCGACACCGTACGATTCG